ATCACCGCTGTTATGCCTGCCAGTCCACAGCGAACGTCCATGCCTCGGAAAAGGAAATCTGTGTCAAGGCCAGCACGCGAGCCCGCCTGACGCGATCAACAACTTAACGGCGTCATCACGCGACGGCGCCTTTCTGCTGCGCACGTGCAGTGAGTCACCTAAGCCAGCGAGCCTGTCGAGCAAGCAACCGACGCCTTCCTGTCTGGCGGGTCTGACGCAACGCCTGGCGACGTCACTCGTCCTTGGGTGCAGCCACCTGCAGCGCAGCCTCTCCAGATTCGATGAGAAAGAATCAATGGAGGAGTCTGACCTCATGACCAGCGGCGCTTCTGGTTGGACATTTTGTTATTCAAAGAATCCACCCGGTGCATATAAAAGAAGCCCTGCGGCGCGTCGCGAGCAGCAGTCCTATGTGAGAGCAGACATGTGTGTCAGAGAAGAGAGCTATGTGATAGAGAGTTGAGCTGTGTGTCAGAAAAGAGAGCTATGTGATAGAGAGTTGAGCTATGTGTTAGAAGCAGACCTATTTGAGAGCAGGCCTGTTTGAGAGCAGACATGTGTGTCGCAGTTGATCTGTGTGTCAGGGAGTAGAGCTATGTGTTAGAGAGGACAGCTCGGCTCTTCAGGTCTCTAAGCTGTCGGCCCCAGTCCCGAATTTGTAACGCCTCTGTAAATATGCTGTACATAAACCTTGTTTAACTCACCGTCGTCTCGTCCGCTCATCTATCAGCTCTGCGCAGAAGCAGTCGCGAGCTGAGAAACCTACGCTACCAAACGGCTGGTGACCTTCCCGGCGGAGTTCGAAGCAGTGGCGCCTTCGGGACCGTGTTGGCGTCACCGTCTTTCGTAAACAGTGGTTGCAGCGGTGAGATTCGTAGCGCCCTTCGTAACGTCGTCGGAGGTGCGCTTCGCAACAGTGGTGGCAGCGGTGGGATTCGTGGCGCCCTTCGTAACGTCGTCGGAGGCGCGCGTCGCAACACCGCCCGCGTCGAATGAGGACCGAGGCACTTTCCTTTCAACCCGACGTCATTCGCCTTCACCCTATCGTCGCACCTCATCTCCGCTTCACCCTGCCTCGTTTACAGCTGACAACCGATCGGAAAACCAAATGAGGCAGTTTTGAGGGGAGAAACGGCACGTAAAAGTAGGACTGCTGTTCCGCCATCACACCCGTTCAATATGGTTTCCGTCGTAGTGGAAAGGCGTTCTTGTTGATGCTTTGGTGGACACCCGGTTGAGACATTTTCTGTGATTAGCTATGATTCGTGTAAACGTCTCAGGAAAGTCATGACGCCTTATAATAAACCCACTCTAGTCTCAGCACAGGGGAACACCATTCGGCCTTCCACTCTTCGCCCTGCCCGAGTTTTCATTGGCGATATCCTTCACTAAATCCAGTTTTGCTGTGCTCAACCGGTGCCATCACCAAGAAATTCTAGGCTGAGACTTTCTGTCTTCTTCGGCTGCAATATGTTGAGTACAACGTGTTCTGCACCTACAGATACGAACTCTATATATGCTCGACGAAGACATCTACAAGCCACATCGCCTGTCCGTGCCGAAAAATTCTGAACTACTGCCACGTCAAGAGCGAATTGTGACCCTAACATCTAAGCACATCGACCATGGTGACGTCTTGGTGTCCCCTTCCGTCCAATAGCGTTACTAAAGGCATAGCTCTTGCGTCAGGTGTGGTACGCTTTCGCAACGGCTCTGTGATCATCATCGCCATGAATGCTACACCGGAGAAAATTCTGCTTCCACAGGGTACCACAGTAGCCTACGCTGTCGATGCTGAGCCTGTAAGCGTCGTGCCACTTAATTAAGCCAGTCTCCACCGAAGATCTTCCTACATGCGAGCCTGGACCTTCCTCCTCCTTCACAGTTCTTATCAGCGATGACTTGACGGCTACTCAGGCGCAGCAGCTGCTTGCTTTGCTATAACAAAACACGCCGACTCTTTTGACACCTTCTCCTCGACGCATGGGCCAGACTACCACGGCAGTGTATCGCATTCAGACAGAGGGAACTTCTATTGTGCAACGCCGCCCGTACCACGTGTCTCTCCCTGGGCAAAAAATCATCGAGGAAAACGTCGCTGACATGCTCCAACGAGAAGTCACTCGTCCATCAGCTAGTGCTAGGTCATCGGCTGTTGTTTTGGTACGCAAAAAGAGTGACTTCGTGCGCTTTTGCCTCGATTAACGGACACTCAACAAAATTACACGTAAGGACGTCTACCCCATGCCACGCATTGACGATGCCCTTGATTCCCTACAAGGCGCGTAATATTTTTTCAAGCCTTGGTTTGCGTTCGGAATATTGGCGAATCCCCATGCACGAAGACGATAAAGAAAAGACGGGCTATACAAATTTAGCGTGATCTTTTCGGACTCTGCAATGCACCCGCGACCTTTAAACGCACGGTTGGCACCGTGCTGCGTGGCCTTAAATGGAAGACCTGCCTCTGTCACCTTGATGACATTTTGTCTTTTTCCTCAACCATTTCTCAGCACCTGGAACGCCTCAATAAAGTCCTAACATGCCTCACCAAACGGGTCTGCAACTCAGCACCAAGAAATGCCGTTTTGCCAGTGAATCCATTAAAGTTCTTGGTCAGGTCATGAGCAAGGACAAAATTCGCCCTGACCCCGAAAAGATTTCTGCCGTCCTTCGCTTCCCGCGCTCCGGAAAGCCATAGGATTTGCGAAATTTTCTTGGACTCGCATCCTATTCCGTCGTTTTATACAAAACTTCGCTTCAATAGCTGCGCCGCTACACAAGCTCCTCGCTTCTGATGTGCCCTTCGTGTGGTCCGAAGAATGTCACTCGGCATTTGACCTGTTGAAGGAAGCCCTCACGTCCGAAGTCTGTACTCTGCCATTTTGATGAGACCGCCCCAACACTATTGATTACAGACGCCAGCGGCTGTAGCATGGGTGCTGTTCTTCTGCAACGCGACGACTCTTTACAGGAGAGAATCGTTGCATACGCTAGTAGAGTGCTGACCGTCACTGCCGGGAAGAACTATACGATCACCGAGCAGGAGTGCCTCGCGGTAGTTCAGCCAGTACAGAAGTTCCGTTCTTATCTGTATGGCCGTCAGTTCACTATCGTAATGGACCATCATGCCTATACTGTCTTTTTACATTGAAGAACCAGTCCGGGCGCCTGGGTCGGTGGATTTTACGCCTGCAAGAGTATCAGTTTGAAATTATTTATAAATCTGGCAAAAGACATCAAGACGCCGACGCTCTTTCACGTTGCCCCCTACCTACGGCACCGCCTGACACTTCGCAACCGTTCCCAACAGCACCAGTTTAGACGTCACTTCCAGTTCGGTTGCCTTGCTCGCCTCACTGGACCAGCTGGCCGCCGACGACGAACAACCGTTCAGCTCTCGCCAGCTAGCTGAGCCGTACTGTCAACGCATTATAGACCCCCTTTATGGAGCTTCGCGTCCACCCAACGCACGGCTTCGTCGTCAACTCCACCAATTTAGGCTGGAGGATGATATACTATATCGTCACATTTATCGCCCTGACGGTCAACGCAGGGTACCTGTTCTACCACGCGCTCTTCGGCATCCTGTGCTTAACGCCTTTCACGACGATGCGATAGCTGGCCACCTCGGCTTTCACAAAACATACGACCGCATTCGAAACCGACTTTGCTGGCCTGACTTTTCTACCAGCATAGCGCGGTACGTAGGTTCCTGCTCTCGATGTCAGCGTCGCACAAACTCCCGACTTCTGTCCCTGCCGGCCAATTACAGCCAATACCATACCCCACAACAGCATTTCAGGTCGTATAGGTGTTCACCTTTATGGGCCTCTTCCCATCACTGGCGCTGGAACTCGGTGGGTAGTGACTTACGCCAGTCATTTGACGCGCTACACCGAGACAACTTCTGTGGTTACTGGTGAAACTGCGGAAGTTTCGGATTTCGTTCTTCAGGCCATAATTATACGTCATGGTTCTCCCCGCATATTCCTAAGCAACCGTGGAAAGAAATTTTTATCCCAACTGCTGAAGTTCTGCGCGCTTCTGGCACTACTCACAATACAGCGTCTAGCTGCCCTCCTAAAACGAACGGGCTGACCGAGAGATTTCACCGAACTCTTGCCGATGTGATCGCCGTCTATGTTCAATCGGACTACAAAAACTTGAATAAACTTCTACCATTCCTTACGTTCGCCTGCAACACCGCCGTTCAGCGCACAAACATACTTGCCGTTTTATCTCGTTTACGGACGTTCAGCATTTTTTTTTATCGACGTTCCCTTCCTCACCGGGAATGGCACTCTATCCGCGTCTTCTTGCGAGGAATACATTTCTCGCATTTTCCCAGTGTCGCCAGCGTGATCGTATGAACACAGAAGCCACGCCACAACAAAGTAAGGCCGTACTTTACGACACTTGTCATCGGAGGGTCTCATTGCGACCGGGGGACGAGGTCTTGTCACCCATTCGCACACCTAGTCTGTGCGACAAGTTCCGAGCTCGGTTTATCGGCCCGTATACATAGTTTTGCAGCAGACTTCTCCGGTCAACTATCACGTGACACAACTTGTCGTGCCAACTGACTGCCGGCCGTTACCGCAGCACCGAAGTTGTCCCACGTCTCCCGATGAAGCTGTTCACGCGGCGTTCTTGCCACCTTGACTTGCAGCGGCCAGGCTCGCCGCTTCCACGTGAGGGGAATGATGATGATGATTGATGATGATGATGGTGCGCTCGTTCCGTTCCTCGCTCCCGAGGATAACCGAGTCGTCATTATATATATATATATATATATATATATATATATATATATATATATATATATATATATATATATATATTATATATATATATATATATATATATATATATATATATATAGTCCTTTTTCAGAAAGCCAACAGTCACCCCGACAAAGTATACCTTCTCGACAAAATAAATTAGCCATACGCATGCAGAACCTGAGAAACTGGAGTCCAACGCATGCGGCAGCTTACCTTTTCTCGTGGCCCGAAGCGATTCCTGTTGGTTCTTGAAGCTCCGCTCAGCGGGTCTCTGCAACAAGTACAAGGATGCGGTGTGCTTAAAGATATGTCATACTTAAAGGCAAGCTCCAGAACTACGTTCCGTTTAGAGACTAAGCATAAATGCAAGCTCCGCCCCCAGCAATCATAATAACACTTACCTGTTGAAATTTTGCATAGATTCCCTGTCCCATCACATTTGATAAAGTACGTGACGTAAACCACCTTCCACGTAATACAGGTTGCCTTTGTTGCTGTTGGTCTTGTTGCTGCTGTCGTTGTTTTTGTACTACAGACACGTATCCGTGTCGCTAGATTTGAGTCGAAATTTTGAACCTCATATCCAATAGACCCCTTTCATAATATTGTAACTTTCCTGCGATGTATTTAACACAAATAATGTCGGCTAGTGCCTTCCACAAAGAGCGTGTTAAAACGCAGTTCACTTGTGATACGAGGCGGAAATATAGAATGAGCTCGATCTCCCGGTAAAAACACGCATGACAGCCTAGCCTAGCTAAGCCCAAAATATGACTTCCTTTCCACGTGAAGATCAGCAGCCATTAGTTGGGTTAAGGTGTAAGGTGCATAAAAAAAACGGATTATGAAAAGAGCCTATCTCAGCAAAGATTGTGACTTCACTGTCGGCCTAACGAAACATGTATAGGGACGAGGAACTCTCAATTACTAACATGCATATTACTTACACAGCAGAGATAAAAAGCGCCTATGGGGTTAAATGGAAAACCAATTTGTAACCCTCTCAGGTACAAAAAGCAAGCACGTCGCAGTTCTGAGGACGAAGCCTGTGTGCCTTTTTAGGTTGCAAACGACTTCAGAGTTCATCCTAGGTGCCACAAGACTGTTAGCGGAAATCCGCCTTTGAAGAGTTATGCATACGATCACGCGATGAGTGTTCCAGAACCATGGCTTTATTAACATCGTGATACTATATAAACGGCGACATAAAAATAGCATTTACGGTTCATCTAGTTCTTGTTCTTCTTCTGCTTCTTCTTTTTTGACGATTATTAAGTGTCGCAGCGCTTTTAAAGAGACCGTCAGCACTCTATAGATAAAGCTACAAACAGGCAAACTATTTTTCCTCTTAATTTTGTTTACCTGGCAGGAAAGTCTGACATGCCGGGTCACGGTGCGGATCAGCGGCCACATTTCGAAAAAACGATCCCCGCACTCCTTTCCTATACGCTTGACCAATCGTCGTTTCACGCGTAGTGACGCAAAGTCGCCGATGAGACACTTGACGCTGCAGTCAGCTTGTCAATTGGTCTAAACCAGTCACGACGAAGGGGCTACGGCTTCCCCTCCCTGTGAGGAAAAATGGTGGTGGTGAGGCCAGGCAAAATTTTGAAATCGGCCAAAACCGATGTTCTAACCCACGTAAGTTCCTTAGTATAGCGCCTATTCGCGAAAGTCTTGCGGCAGCATGTTCACGTGTATTTAACCATGACCTATAATATTTAACCATGACCTATGATATATTACTTAACCATGACCTATGATATACCTTTTTTGCATCTTTTGTATATGGTGTATCTTTTTATTGTTCTTGCTGTTTTACACCTGTGTGCAATGCTATGATCTTGCCCCTCCTGCTGGGGCCCTTAAATGGGCCTGCAGTATTCTGTAAATAAAATAAATGAAACAAAACAACGAAGCGAAAATGCACATACTTCTTTTACAACAATTTCTGGACCTCGGGATTGATTATTGGCTCTCTAACGAACTTCTTTTCGCCGAAATCGAAGGAGCCCCCCCCCCCTCCACTACGGCGTCTCTCTTTGTGGGACGTCAAACGTCAACAATTACGTTCACAAACAAAGGAAACTCTTCCATTACTGTGCATACTGAAGCCAGAGGCTGCGATTGCACGCACTGCAGCAGCAACTTCACTTCGTTTTTACGCCCATATTCGCGCTTCTGTGAGCGTTTTTTCGCTCCTATATAATTCCACTTCTCCTTCCTCCGAGTGAACGACACGTGTTTGTTCCTGAGCGAGTCCAAAGGCCAACTTCTGAAAACAAGCGCGAGCAATATCTGCATATACGTCACACGAGACAGAGGGGGCGCAGCGATCGGTACAGCTTAGAGCCGCCGCCGAGTGTCGCGACACTCGTGAAAGAGGCGTCAGATATTCCAGAATATCAAAGATTCGAAAGACGGAAACTTCCGCCCCCGGGGCCAAAGCTCAGTAAAGAATCTCAGGTAGCGTGGCGTCGCCTGCAGACCTTGTCTTACCCGAATTCATACACACTGTCCAAGATAGATCCCGACACATACGCACCACAGTGCAGGTTCTGCGTCGCTAAAACAGCCACCCTGTACGACATGGTAGGGGAATGCCAACACAATCCACCTCTACAACCCAGAGCACAGCAGAACACTGTAGGGTGGGAGGCAGCTCTTTCCAGCTCGGACCCGAAGACCCAAGATGCCCTCGTGAGACGAGCGAGGACAGGGGCCCGTGCCAATAGGATCCCGGACTAAGGAGCCCACTCGCCGACCCTCCTTCCTCGGTCGCAAATAAATGTTTTCATTCTCTCTCTCGACAGTGGCGAGGGGAACAGAGGCGGGGGAGCGGAGAGGAGGAAACTATAGCGATGGGCCCCTAAATTGTCCTATACGCATCATTTTCCGGGCGCGATCCTCCAGAACCCAAAACATGGAGAGCTTCGCTCTTTGAAAAACAGCAAAAAAAGAAAAAGATAGTACACATTGGGCTTTAGGGTGTCCCACACGTGTCATATTGCTATTCGCGGCGGCGAGCGTTTCGGCTTAAGCGTCCACAACTCTTCCGAAAAAAGGCTCGGAGGTGTCCCATTTCGAGTCGATGAATGCCGAGAATCTACGGCTACACCTCTTTCCGTTTGAGGAGTCGAGCACAGGCGCGTTCTTGGCAGCGCGCGGCGCTTCGGGCGATAGGCGTGCGCAGCCCAGCCGTATCATATTTCGGGATTCGTTTTCAGTTCGAATAATACATTACAGCGAAAGTTGTTATGAGATCACAACGAAGGCCACGCGCGCCATAGTTGCCAACAGCCGGTGTCCGTGACCACTATCACGCGAAATGAGAGAAAAATTCAGGACTCCTATGCAAACTGGCCTTCGGCATGGCTTGGTGTCGGGAAAGAAACGACGTTAATTTGAGTACTGAAGCGTTTGGAAACAGCAAATGTACAACCAGGCACAATGCGGATTGTGTACCCAGTGGCTCATCGAATGCTTCAACCCACTATAAAATGGTCAGGCATGATTCTTCATCATCGTCTATCACAAGATATAAAAACAAATGCACGAAATTCCTTGCTGGGTATCGCGCTTCACCGGAGAATGACGAATGATGGTATATTGATTGTCTCCTTACTACACAAAAACTTATGTTGATTTATGGCGTTGTGGGCATCCTGAAAGTGTGTTTGTAGCATTTACTCAAAGATAGTTTAAAAAAAAAAAATCTCTGAAAGGCTCCTCTTCCAGCTTGCACTATGACTGTGCTGCGCGTTCCGTGCAGGCCTGGCGGGTATTTTTTGTTTTTTTTTTTCTTAATTATCAAGAGGCTTTTGGTTCTTATCAATCCTCATTGGTTACACTGATATATAGGGAGCTTATTTTACCTGGTCAGAAGAAACACCAAGGTGCGATCGCTGGAACAACGGTCCCCGTAAGAAAAAAAAAGAACCGACGAAATTTTGCAAGCTGCGAAAAAGAGACAGCAGATGAAGAAACCCCGCAAGTAAATTATACGAGACCAAATTATACGCTATAGGTCTCTAAGTCCAAATGCGAAAAAATGTGTGCTTTGTGTGCAATGACAGGTTCAGTAAATTACTAAACGTTGGCAAGACCCTTAAACGCAATTCAACAGGTCGTATAATATTACATTGTATGATCGCGTATCAATTAAGCTCATAGGCATGCCAGCTGTCGCTCGTGCGTAGATACAAAACATTACACTAGGAAATTACAAATTAAGAGAGTGCGAATCTTATTGCTCTATAGAGCTATAACATGTACATACGCACATACGACCCTAAATGTGCTATGAGGCACTAGCATACATGTTCAGACAATACGCTTCCTTACCCACAGCGAACGAGCATATGGAAATTTTACGGCACTATGGCGTATTCACGCAAACACTCACACGGGTGTTAAAATGCGTTTATACGCAGTGTAAAAACGTGTTACGAAACGAGCGTATATACGCTCTGAGAGACGCGCAATGGGCAAGACCCCTTTTCACTGAAATCAACCGTATGCTCGCCTTTCAACGCGGCTTATTCACTTAGCGGTTCTCGCGGCCCCTTATCAATCTGCGCCGTTCGCAGACCACCTCTGCATACCCCGCAAAGATAAAAGGCGAAGAAAGGAAAAGAAAAACGGGGGGGTGGAGGGAGCGTTCTTGAGGGATGATTATGAGAGCGGAGATAAAAGACACACCGTATACACTCCTGTCAGCGCGATCTATAATAGATTCTCCCCTTTCGGTCACCCATTTTTCCTCCTATATCAACGCTCGCATGCAGGCCAAACAGACGCCCGCGGGTATACGAACGCACGCACATACGCGCACGCCAGATGCAGGCGGTACACGGGTGCTTCGTTTATCCCATAAACTTTCATAATAACGCGCTGGCTCTATAGTCGATAAGCTGTGTGTACAATGTATATTGTCTACTGTAGGTTCTATTGGAGCTGCAACGGCAAAGAGCGCTGGCGGGAAGGTTGGTTTATCCTGCTAACGCTGTGTTTGCAGGCATATATGCTAATACTTTGGATCGTATGTGCGGGGCAACACTTTGGCATCCTAGTACTGGAACGATGGCATCGCTTGCCCTCAGTTTATAATTCTCTTAGTATAGCGTTTTGCTTTACGCAGGTGCAACAGCGACCATGGTTATTAGTTCAATCGATACGTGAACAAATACTGGAATTATAATTATGAGCCGCCTGAGCAAAAAGTACCGGTAAAGCCCGAATGAGCATGACAGCGCCACAAGACAAAAAAAAAGAGGTTGCGGTAGTGCCCTACATTCAGACCTTATGTCACAAATTTAAAAGGAATGCGAGGTCCGGCGCAAACGCCGTTTTCGATGCGAAACACCCCTTTGACTTGCTCGTGTAACGCTGTCCCTCCGCAATAACGCACCGCGCGCCGCAGATGTTGGCGCGG